CGCCGACAGTTGTGCTGGTCATCTCTCTGCCTTCGGACAGAGAGGATCCCTAGACGAGGTTGTGCCGAAGGGCAAACTCTCATCTTGAGAAACAGCTACCCGACTCCGTTTTATACGGGGTCTACTGAGAATTTTTGGCCGAGCCTATAGTTTCGGATACTCCACATTAAATTCGGCCTTAGGATACATCTGATCGCGTGGGGCGGTCGGTAAATATTGGCTGCAGTTGGAGATACATTGTGAAATTCACTTGACTCACTTCTAACAGTTCACTAATTCTTCTACGCATCGCTGGCGAATCTTATATGTGTTATTCGTGTCCTAAGTATTATCGTTCATTACCAACTTACGTTTGATTATTCTATTCAGTAACCTTCCCTAGGTTACAACAATTTTCTATCGACTAAAAAAGCAATTGCGATTTGAAATAATGTTGTTGAAAAACTAACAGATATAACTCTATCCAACCATACAACAATATTATAACCAGGTGGCGTATCAAGCTGTGGCAGGTAGCAACGATCGGCAACACAACGCCTGAAACATTAAGAAAGGATTTTGAAACGTCTGTAACCAAGATAAAAATAAACTGGGCAATAATTAAAACGTTGGAAATGTAAATCAGTAGATGTTATGGATATCATGGACCGAGCAAGTGAGCAATGGTCAGGTCTTGGAGAGGTTACAAACAAGGAGAAGGCTTATAATTAATATCAGAAAGAAGCATTTGAAGTTTCTTGGACACATAATGAGTAAGGAGGGTCTGGACAATCTGATACGTCCTGAAAATAGATGGCACATATAAAGAAAGAATGAACAGTTCGAATCGTTAAATATTATGTCAATTCGAATATCGAAATGCTAAGTTTTAACGCACGTAATGAGAAAGGAGGGATTGGAGAATCTGATACTCACAGGTCGAATAGAGGGAAAAGAGACAAAGGAAAGCAATGCATGGCATGACTGGCGGACTTAAGCAAGTGGATGGCAGAACGTGGTCTGGGAGAGTTGGCAGAGGGAAGCAACATTTTGAGAGCTGCAAGGGATAGGGAGAAGTGGAGAGCCATGATCGCCTACGTCCTCAAAGGACATAGCACATAAAAAGAAAGAAATCAGTAGAGATATCCATGAGAAAAGAAAGGGGGGACACTTGTAGTTGTAATATTATTCACCGCCAGAATTCTCGGATCAGGTGGCACGGAAAAACAGAAAATGTTTCGCAAATGACTTTTAGATTGTAGATTTTGTGAAAAGAGAGAAAATGGTGTCGAAATCCGACGTAAAACCAAAAGGAAAATGTCTGTGAAAAAACAAAAAACCAACAAAAAAAGAAAACAAAAGAAAATGACTGAGAGTTGCCAGAGAATTATAGACACTAGAAAATTTTGAAGAAGCAGCCAAAATTTTCATCCATTTTGGTGCAAAGAAAGGTCGCGAAAAAGAGGCATTTTTTTTTCTTTCATAAATGAAAAAATCGAAAAAGCAATATAAAAATTGAAATGTGACAAAACTACAAAAATGGTTGGCTGGATGGTGTGTGACCATCCTGGTATTAATAAAGACGCTAGTTAGTGGGACAGTAACATGCTGTTAAGAATACCAAGAAGAAAGAGAAAGAAAAAAAGAATATGACGAAGACAATGATAAGGTAATATAATCGAAAAGACTAATATATTTATGGAAGGCAATAATGAAAATGTAATCGTATCTAAGAAATATAAAAGCATGAATAGAAATGAAAGGAAAAACGAATCATTAAATGATGAAGAAGAAGAAGAAGAAGAACAACAACAACAACAGCAACAACAATAACAACAACAACAAAAAACAACAACAACAACAAGACTAATATAAAGGAAGTGCGGTAAAAGAAGAATAAGGAAAAGGCGGTTAATATAAAGGTGTGGTAAAAGTTCAAAGTATAAGGAGGAGGATGCGGCTAATATAAATATGGTACAGTAAAAGTTAGAAGAAGTATAAGGAGGAGGCGGCTAATATAAAGGAGGTGTGGTAAAGGTTAGAAGAAGAATAAAGAGGAGACGGCTAATATAAAGGAGGTGTGGTAAAAGTTAGAAGAAGAATAAAGAGGAGGCAGTGAATATAAAGATAGTGCGGTAAAAATTAGAAGGAGGAGGAGGAGGATGAGGCAACTAATACAAAGGCGGTAAGTTAAAATTAGAAGATGATTAATTGATTCATTTCTCACGGGTTATCATTCCCTTACAGCTTATTTAAAGCAAAAAATATTTGTAAGAATTTTTGAGATAATAATGGTTGAGCGATAAAAGACTTACTAATTAACCCGTAGCTGGGGGGAAGATGTGGTTTCCTACTTTTCTCAAGTAGTTGCGCGTAAGTGAATATAAAGAACCCAAAAGCTGACAGTTCCTTCTATCGCACTTCTCGCTTGTGGAACTCCTTTCTGACTTCTTGTTTTTCAGTCAACATTGATTTTCAAAGATTTAAATGCAATGTCAATCGTTATCGTCTGTATTCTTAATGGTATATTTTTCTTATATTCTCTAACACTCAGTAAACACTTGCATCGCGTTGAAGTCGACATTGGCTTCAAGAACGGACTCCAGACGATCTCAGAATCTTCTGCAACTCTTCTGGACGGTCTCCTTGTTTAAGAAGGTGAATGATGAATGGTGAATGATGACGTTATCCTTGCTTTCAGTTCATCCTTGGTGTTACAAAATGTTTTGTTGGTCTCTCGCTTCTGTCGCCTGCACAGTCGGACCAAGTTGGCACCCGTCTATGAGAAAAAGAGCACCATGACGTAATTCACTCCTCCACTAGAAATTTCGATACAGCATGCTTTAACACTTGGTATTCGCACCGGAATCTCCAATACGACCATTTCAGAGTGTCTGGATGTCAATCTGCGGACAGTGCGTAGGATTCAGAAAGAGTTTGAATGAGTCTAATGGTGACTACGATAGTGTTTGCAGTGTTCACAAAATCATCTTCCCACATGGCATCAGACTCAACATGGAGTGACTTGCGGAGGTAGTACTTCCCTGGGTTAAATGAGTGGCTGTTAGAAAAACCTATATCTATAACTAGACTCTTTGAATTTAAGCGTAGTTCTAACCTGGCGATAAGTTCTCATGAATTTACAGCTGATCTTGTTCGAAGTAACCGTAAAATATACCCTAAGAATTTCTTTTTTTGTTGTCCATCACTAAAGATACTGCGAAAACTGTAGGTCCCCTGTCCTATTCTAGGAAATAACTGACACTTCCTACTCTCCTCAATTTTTATAAGATTTTGTCCTAAAATGGTGTCTTTACTTTCCAGTTACCATAGTCTAAAAGCGTAACGCCCTGGGTAAGACGATAAACTACCCCCAACAGCAAGGCCACTGATCAGGAGGTTTTGAGGAGCGTGGAACCAACACTTAACTACTGGTGTTCCCAGGTCCACTTTGACCCAGGGTGGTAGCACATGTTGGCGTCCGAGCTATGGACAAATAGGGGTCAAAACATTATGAAAGTGTAAAAATAGGTTTCAATACCAGCAATAAACTTTTTGAGTAAAAATTATTACAAGCAATACATTTTTGGAGAAAATAAATATTACCAGCAATAAATTTTTGAAGAAAAAATATTACCAGCAACACATTTTTGAAGGAAAAAAAAATATTAACGTCATTATATCTTTGAAGAAAAAAGTATTTACAAGCAATACAGTTTTGGAATAAATATTACCAACAATAAAAATCTTTTCGGCATTAAATAAGCCATTGAGATTGAGGTGCCGTAAAAGAAAATAGACTGAATCCAAAAGCGTATGTGCATCCTTGTGGGTGAGAAATTATTTTCCACCCTACAACCCGTTTCTCACAAACGAAAAATCGCAAGTGTCTCACTGATCTATCACTATTCACATGGAAAGTGCTCAGACGAACTACATTCTTTAATTCCACCCGTTCTAACCTTCACAGCTAAGACTCGTCATGCTATGTATATTTATCGAGCCACATTTCTTTAAGTCTCTCGGTGCCATAAGGAAGGGGAATGATTCGTCACCCACAAGGACGCGGAGATACTTTTGAACGCAATTAAAACCTGGACAGCTCCAAAAACAGTGCCCTATTTTTGACCTTATCTGGCTCTTGGGAATCTATAGGATTTGCCTCAATCCAGTAATTTCTAATGATATAGATATTTTAGAACGCACTCAATCGGAGATTGTTTGAGCTGACTTGTTTAGCCGACACGAAGGTATTTCTAACTGCGCGGCGCTTATCAGAACTGGTACCATATTGCGCATATGCAAGTGCCTGGAATTCCCTAATTATAGAGTTGTAATGGTTATATTGGGCGACGTATATTTTTTTTTACCGCAGTCTCATTTTGTTGGCGTTCAGCTCACATTAATATTATTATTATTATTATTATTATTATTATTATTGAAGCTATTTATTTTCTTCCGTTCCATTCGCATGTGGACACCTCAACAGCAATATCATGTTCATTCTCCCCCTCATACGCCATCCTGAATTTCTGCTATGAACATTAGTGTAACGCATGCCTAAATATATTTTTGAAAAAGGCAGGATGAAGAAACATAAATTGTTTCAATAATAATAATAATAATAATAATAATTATTATTACTATTATTCATTTCTATTCATTAGTTTTACTCAAATTGCGTAAACGGACTAATCCATAAATCGTAAAGAAAAAAAAAAACTCCTTGCCACGTATCTATTTAAGAAATATCTTTAGACACGATTTACTACCGGACGGAGTGGGACCTCAAGATGGCGGATTCTCTTGAGAGCATCGTGTCGTAGCAGAACTGTTCACATGCAATGGAACGAAAAATTAGTCGTTTTGTAAAGAATCACCATAAATTGTATTCTTGTTGCTATCTTTTTCTTTACTATGCATATGCCTTAAGAGTTTGAACTAAACTAACACGTAACTCAGCTATATATATATATATAGAGAGAGAGAGGGTGAGAGAGGGAGAGAGAGAGAGGAAAGACGTGAGAGAGACGGTAGTGGGAGATAGACAACGAACAGACTGAGATACACAAATATGGAAAGTCTGAGATAGATAGATAGATAGATAGATAGATAGATGGATAGATAGATAGATAGATGGATAAGAACTGATGCAGAGAGAAGGAAGTGAGATATAGATAATGAGCATACTGAGATACACAGATACATACAGTCTGAGATAGGCGGATAAATATAGATAGATGAGAACAGACGTAGGTAAATAGATATATAAGTATGAAGTGACTCATATATATATATATATATATATATATATATATATATATATATATATATGAATAAATTCCCAATAGAATACAATCCAAGTAGAACTCAAGTCCAGGAGAGAGTAAGAATATAATATAAAGGCTCAAACACTAATATTCTATGGTTATAATTTATTACATTGCAATTGTAATTATGGTCCAATTCATCAGAACTACAAATTATATATATATATATATATATATATATATATATATATATATAACCCTGCTGAGAGAGAGAGAGAGAGAGAGAAAGAAAGAAAGAAAGAAAAAAGAAAGAAAAGGAGTAAACTTAGATAGATATGGGATATCTGGTATATGAAACTAATAGTGAGAAATTGAAATGTCAAAATGTATTTTTTATATTTTGCCAGTACAATTTCTCCAGACACAAACACGCACATATATACATACACAAAACATCACACATGGACAAACCACAATATATATATATATATATATATATATATATATATATATATATATATATATATATATATATTATTTTAGTTTTAGTGGATACACGTTTCGGAGTGGTCATTACCTTTTTGATATGCCCTCATTTGATATCAATTTTACTGGTTTAAAAGATCCAGTGACCGGACCCAAAGATTGTGAGTTCAGTGGAGAACTTTCGGAGGGAAAATTAACAGGAGATAACTGATAACTGACATCCATTAAACGTGGAACTAGAACAGTGAGCGAAATAAATGGTTCAGTTCGACATCCCAACCACCTGAAGAAGGTCGGAGCGCACAACGGCCGAAACGTTGTAATAAATATGGCGACAAAGATGAGGATAATAGTCCGAATAATGTAAATAATGTACCTTGCAACATATCACCAGCTTCTGTAGCTAGTAGTGTAAAGTAGGAGGAGCAGAAAATTGACACCGTCCGTATGCGTTACGTCAAGGACTTAACGGAAAAGATTCAGGAAAAATTCTGTCCATACAACATCAGCATAATATTCGGAAATAGCTTCATGCTACAGCCAAGCGTCAGATAGAAGAGAACATGATCAGGAATTGAATTTACCGTTTCCTTTGCAGCTGTGGCAAAAATGAAACTAACCATCCTTAATGGCAAGGCTGAAAGAACATCGAAAAAAAGCATCATTAGGCGTGAGACAATGTAATCAAGAATGGAGTGAAAATCGTTATCATGAAACATACTGAACAGTGTGTGGAATATTAGAGAATCAAACGTCTGAAAAATTTACCTCATATGCTAAGTTGTAATGACCTCTTTATTAGGCCTATTATAAACATGGCATAGATTTGGTTTGGTTTGGTCTGTTTTGTTTTACGTTATATCAACCAAACATGTCATAGGAGTCATTATTAAATGAAGTAGTGACAGCAAGGTTGCAACAGCAGCAGCTGCAATAAAAAAGTGAAGCCTCAGAGAATCAAGAACCAGGAATAAAACCTATCAGAAGTGGAAAAAGGTTCGTGATTTTGGTGACATCATAATTGCGTGATCGATACCCCGACCTAGTAGTGATTTATCTATGGATATGATCAGTGTAATGAGCGCAATCTACTCTCGTAGGTTAAGTAAGATGCTCAGTTCGAAATTAACTGTAGTTAATTTGGCTTGATAATCACTTGATGAAGTTCGATGGGCAAAAAAGCCGAAATACTTAATACTTCATTTACTTTTATTGATGGATCATTTATAACTAATTTAGTATAGCAGATAAGAGTTTTGAACGTAGAACAGACTGTGCTAGAGATACTTTCAAACAACAAAACAATAACTTGAATAATCTATAAAACATCTGTCTACTTACTTTTGCATTTGTATTGATATATCTGATATCATTCTGAACATAAATATTGCATTCCTTGTTCCAGTGTCTTTAATTATCCTTTAGTGTTCTTGTTCTATTTCTGATTTAAATCTAGTGCCCTCTCTATTCATCAGAACTCGGATGATATGTTTTGTCATATGGCTCATTAGACTGATTGTTCGACAGAGTTCACATTCTTTTGCACCTACCTACTTAAGCAGAGCAGAACAGGGAAAAATAATATTCAAACACAGCTCTACAAATTTAAATAATTTTATTATTGAATATAAAATATATATTACATTTTCTTTTAAGCTGAAAGGAATAAGTTTTACAGATCCTCGCAAACAACGTTCAAACGAAAAATGTTTTTTACAGCACAAAGAAATTATTTGTGTTATTATAGGTGGAAACTATTTGCGAGATTCTCACAACATCTATGTTATGTTGTGTGTGTCTAGCGAAAAAATGTCGCCTGGGTATTTTCGTAATAAAAACTGTGCGAACTGACTTAAGAAAACTCTTTAAAAGCGAGAAATAATTTATAAAATAAACTTTAGCACTCAATAACTTTGTTTAACTAAATTTTGAGTAGTTCAGTATTATTTCCATCTCCGTTGACAGTATACGGAAAACAAGTTTATTAAATGAAATTACGCTATTTATAGGAAAAATCGGACCAACAAATGTTAAAATATAGACTTAATAAATTTAGAAGTCTTATTGGTTAATAAATATATTTTCGAAATTTTCATATTGATTTTTAGAAGGGAAATATTTGTTAATCATTTTCCTAGGCGTGAGCCTTCGTTTTCTGAGCATACGACACAGACATTGTTGTTTGCTTTTTCAAAGCTTAAACGGCATTTAAGACAACATCGCTGATTGTTCAATAAATGTTAATGTGGAAATTTGAATTTTACGTTCGTATGATTCTATCTTTGCTCAGAAATGAGGTGTTGTCTATGTGATCTTACTTTTGCACAGAATTGACATCTTAGCGAAACTACTTAAATCTATTGATTTTTTCTTACAATTTTTAACTGGGTTCTACACATTATATTATATTTGCTAATTTATTTATACATTTACGCAAATAACTGCCTTTATTTATTTGAATATCAATGTAAGGTTATTAAGGAAGATGTTGAATTGTGGCGATAGTTCGCTGGGTTGCAATAATAAGCAGACATATAACGGCAAGAAATATATAGGAAAGGAGATTAGAACGAGAGGTTTACAATGTAACAAGTTTATTCAACTAACTATATATCGGAAAATATAGGAAATATTAAATTATCCCTTTATTAGTCTTATAGCATACCTACGGACGATAATGAGTATGCCCCCATTCACAGAGATACAGTAGTAAATACTGTATGTTAGTCTGCAATCGGAGATACGTCTCCAACTGTGCTGGTCAAACTCTCTGCCTCTAGACAGAGCGGATCTCCAGACGAGGCAATGTCGAAAGGCAGAGTCTCGTCTCAGGAAATAGCTAGCCAACCCTGTTTTGTACGGGGTCTATGGGGAATTTCGAACCGAGCCTACGGTCCCTGTACCCCACATTAAATTCGGCCTTGTGCCACATTTAACCGCGTGGGGCGGTTGGTAGATATCTTGCAGTTGGAGATTCAATGTGAAATTCACTTGACTCAATTCTAGTAGTTGACGAATTCTTCTACGCGCCGCTGGCGAATCTTATATGTATTGTTCTTGTCCTAAGTATCCTCGTTCATTACCAACCTTCATTTGATTATTCTATTCAGTAACCTTCCCTAGGTTACAACAATTAGAGATTCCTTTAGAAAGGGATATATCCGTATCCGCAACTAACATAAGTATTTGCACTAACAGAAGTATTTCTGAATATACAGGAGAAGCGTTTCCATTGTTAAACGTTCATTTCGCATCGTTTATATTGAATAATTGACTTTTCGTTTGTATAAGCGGATTTTCAAAAATTAGCATTCAATTATTTTTTAAATTAATAAAATCCATCTTATATTTATTATTATAAATTATAATTAGTATACCAATTAATAATTAGTTCACTTCATTAAAAAATAAAATCTGTATATAGATAAAGATACGTGGTGCATTCAATATGCTTTGAGAGATTTTTTTGAGAGATAATTATAACTTTCCTCCATTATTGTAGTATTAGTATAAAATTACTTTACATCTAATAAGTTTAATTGCCACCTTTTTTTAATTCCAGATTGTAGAAAACGGTAGTAAAAGCTCTTTGAAAACACCCTACTAAACACTGCTTGTCACAGCGGATATGTATGCAGAATTGCAGTCAAGACGTGAAAACAGTTTGGACGCTCGCTATGCAATAAAGTGATAAAATAAGCCAAAACGCTACAAGAAAGTATGAAAGGCTCTAAACTGCTCATGGATTAAATTGTATGGTACAAGAGGTTCAACAACGGTGGAGAAAATGTGAAAAACGACGAGCAACGTAGGAGGGAGAGAATGCAGATGTCAGAATGTCAGAACTGGTTGAGAAAGTTTTCTGGATAAAGATCGTCATATGTCTAAAGACAATGGGCATACAGTTTGGAGTTGATGTTACAACTGTGCACATAATTATTCATGAAAATCTGAACATGCGCCCCGGAGTACTCAGTAACGAACAGAAGGAAAAATGCTTTAATAACCAGCAGGGAGTCATCAAAGCTATCGCTCATCCGCCCTACAGTCTATGCCTTGCTCCCTGCAACTTTTGATTGTTCCTCAAACTGAAGAAGACTCTCAGCGGCAGTCCTTTTGAAGACAATGAAAAAATGAAGGAGACTGCAACAAAGGTCCTGGTCACCTTCACTTTGGATTACTTCCATGAGCCTTTCACGAAGTAGCTGATGCCCTACAATAAGTGGATTGAATCTTTGAAAGAGATTAAGGTTTTGTACTTCTCTAAAATTAATAAATGTCTCACCTGAAAAAGTCTCAAAGCTTCGTGAACACACCTCTTGTATATTGCAGTAGATTAATACATGTCGTCGTCAACTTACGACTCTACAACTACAGGCGAATTGGTAAGTCTGGCTACAATTGCTCTGAGCCTGGCAGCCCGAGTGTTTTCCAGCTTGGTATACAAGTCTATTTCAAACAACAGCGGCTAATAGAATGTGTTGTAGTCTTGTCTTGTCTTGTCTTGTCTTTGTACGTTCGCACGTCGAGAACGTCTCTCTCGACTAAGAAAAGCACTGGTGTTATATAGCAATCCTAGTCCCAGACCTACACTGACTATTGGTTTATATCTGTCCAGTATCGTTCATATGCAAATAGTTAGCGCCACCTACTGTAAGTACAAGGTCTTCTCTCAACAGCCCATTGTGGAAGGGGGCGCAAATCCTGGTGCACCATATACAACCTACTCGGAGTCTTTTATCGGGCTGACACGATACTCTGTTGCAATTTGCATGTATTTTGTTATGTTTTGCAACTAAAATGTTTCTTTTTTTTGTATGTTTGCCAAATGTACAGTAGTATACAGTTTTTGACTTTGTCTTGTCGAACCT